ATGTTTAAGATTAAATTAACTAACTGAGCAAAAGCAAGTAGTGTTTTACTTACTTACTGAGCTAGATGGACTGAACCATTCTTATGTTCTGAACTGCCCCTATCTGGCAGATTCAATCTGTAGACACTAACATCGTTAAGGTGTCTATTTCTAGTGTGCGTGTGTGTGTGTGTGCATGTGTCTGTGTGTGTAAGTGTGTGTATGTTTGTGGGTAAGTGTGTTTGTGTGAGTGTGTGTGTGTGTCTGTGTCTGTGTCCATGTGCGCGAGTGTGTGTGTTTCCGTGTGCGTGCGCTTGCAGGATACAGGAAGGAGCGAGGGGAGGGGTGGCCCCGTCTTCAGGGACAGCAGGGCTCAGATGTTAAGTGATGCGAGTCCCTTGTTAACCCAGGGCAAGAGGGGTCTGCCTGCGTGTCAGGAGCAGCTGAGGCCTGGATCCTCAGAGATGTCTGTCTCCCAGAGAGCCGAGCAGGAAGGCACAGAGACCACAGCCCTTGGCCCCACGGTTCACTGCAGCTGTGTCTCTGGCCCCCAGCCCACCAGCTACGATCCATCCGCCGCGCTGTCACCCTTACCCAGCCGCCTCTCTGTGTGCTGACACACCGGCACTTCGTTTCTCAGTCTTACAGGGCTCCACTGCCACGGCTGCTTCTCACTGCGGCTTTTTGGAGGGACAAAAGTTGCCTGAGCTTCAGAAGTTGCTCTGCAACAGGAAGTACACCCAGAAGTCATTTTTTGCCACTTCCAAGGTGTTTCACTGTCACGAAACTAAACTGGAGATGAGGTTGGGCGAGAAGGGTCAGTAACTTCAAACTCACCCAGATGTTGTTGACCGAGACACCTGAGGCCTAGTAACTGTTAGAACTTTCTAAACACTCTGGGTCGGATTGGAAAAGCTCCTAGGCATGCATTTAACGTAGGCAGTGACAAATCACAGCAATTAGAATTAGCAGGAGCAATGATTCAGTCTGGAAATCACTGAACTAGTCCACAGTGTTCCATGGTGTAGTCCATAAGAAAACATGGCACCATAGTGGTTGCAAGTGTTGCGATGGTTTGGTATTCATTACCATAGTACCAAAGTACTGTAATACCACAGTACCCTTTACTGTGATTAATGATGACATGCTGCCAGGGCTAAGCTGAGCTGTTTTCTTGCCTTGGTAGACCACAACGTAGCGCTGTTAACCCAGGGGAAGAACCAGCGGGGCACTTGCACCCACTGAGTTTGTCGCTCCGGACAGCGGTTGTGGGTTCATGGTTACGCAGAACAATGGAGATCCTGTGGGCCCCAGGGTCTCGCTCGGGAACACGCGAAACTCGGCGTCTGGTTCCTCCCAGCCCTAGCCCCAGGCCCGCTCCGCTCTCAGACTGAGAATTTAAAATCAGCGTCACACACAGCAGCGCAGTCTCCTCTAACAATACGTCTCTGTTCCCAGGCCAGGAATTCATGGTAAACAGATTTTAAAGCTGCACTGTCTGTGTGGCTCAGGCATGGTTTGACTTTTATTTTATCGTGTGCTGGAGCACAACTGCCATGGCTGAGTATGGAGATGTGCTAATTGTACTCTTCCAGCAGGCACTGCGTACCCATTTGGTGTCTACAGTAAATGCGTAGATCCTGGACTATTGTATATCCTTCAGAATCACCTTGTGAGTGCAGACAGGGCTCTTTCTGCATGCACTCTCCTGCAACAGCACAATGTGCTCGTTACGTGTTACTGCAAAAGCTCACCAGCCAGCCTAAAGTGTAAATATATAAATATTGATCTGACAGCACAGGGCGAACAGGGCAAATATTTCCTTTGAAACTCACATACAAGTGAGTGACATTTACTCTGTAAACCTGTCCATCCTGCAACAAAGCAGACTTCTTAGGAAGCTGACAAACAGCAAGTACAAAAGCTTTGCACATCAACAGGGCCAGACGCAGGTGCTCAATGCTGAAGAGAGAGACATGCAGACCACATGCATTTTAGTTCATACCAGTAAAAAAAGTCCAGTAGGAAAATGGGACAATTTCACGTTTGAGGGTGGGGTGAATTATTTTAATATGGTGGGCTGACCTACATCATAACCACAGAAGTCACAATAACACCCAGGCTTACTGCTTCTCTTGCCAGCTAGCATGTTTTCTTAAAAGCGAGACATTTATGTTACAGATGGGTTTAGTAAATAGAGATAGCAGCACATGTCCATTGCTTATATTTAAGGTTTAAAAAATATCATGTGAGTCTACAGTACGTACACTATTGCTCGCTTCTATGTGCTGTAATGTATCTAACGCATTGTTGCAAATCGTTGTGCATCCTGCTTCATGTAGATCTTTTCTTGCTGCCCTGTGTGCACTTATTATGCAGAGGTGTAAGGCTGATTTCTCCATGCCTGGACAAACAAAGAGTCTTACCACTTATCTTAAATTCAGTGCTCTCTACCTGGTGAATGAGCTGTGCCTTAAACACAAAGGTTTAAACATTCAGATCACAGTCAGTATTCTTTGCTGATACAATTTGGAGCAATTTCTTTCTTAACGGCAGTGATTTTCTCCTGTGAGAGTGGTGCGCAGCAGGGATTGGTATATTTTACAGAGTGATCGGCGCTTTCCTCATCACTGACTGAGCGGCTGGTATCGGCGATTGCTGTAAATTACAAGTCAGTGGGAACACTTTCTGCCACTGAGTGCTGCTGTAAGAATAACATTATTGTTTGACATGACTCGCTCATTTTACTTCCTGCAATCTTTAATGAATCCTTCTGTCTCACTGCCTCTCTTTTCTCTCTGTGTAGCTGATGGAGGTGAGTACTCTACAGATGCATCCTGTCTACTTAAGGGGTGCTGATCTGACAGTTTGTTAGAGGGTACAGTGGGAAATCTCACTTCTTCTTCCAGCTAGACACCTGGGTCTAATTTAGATTCAGACATTTATTCAAAATATCCCCCCCCCCCCACCTCACTGCACCTTGACCTCTCCCATGAGGTTTCTGTGTCTGATCAGTTCCTGTCATGGGGTTCTCGCTCCTTCTTCGCCTGCTTCACATGACAGTAATACAAATCCGTAAATCTGTATAATCACAGCCTTCTCATATTGAGGTAAAAAAAAGCAGCACACTTTGAATTTTTCATTCACTGTTTTTGATGATTTTCAGATAGAGTACTTGGCATCATGCATGCGTGTTTTCGCTAGAGATATTATCGTGTATCTTTATTTTTAATCGGATTTCTTCTGCCTTTTCTAAGAGAATTCCTCACAGCGAGAGCCCAACTACACACTATTTGCTCACAGATCATTTAATCTTCTTTTGACCCCCCAAAAAAACCTCTTCGGAGTTATTACTCCCTTTCGCTGGAAGGAATCAGTTTCATTTAGGGCTGGCTCTGCTTTTACTCATGCATCTTATTGATAGAGAAGATCACGCAGGACTGAATGGGCCCTGTGTCTCTTTCTCTCCAGGCTTGCCGGCCTGTGCACAAAAACATATTCCCCTTTAATTATACTCGGGGTGTGCGGGCCTAGGAACACATTGCCACAGCCTGCTGTCCCAATTCATTCCACCTGCCTTTCCACATTGTATCAGATTCTCAACCTGCTCAGCTCTGAAACATGCACACCCACTCACGCAGCCCCCTCCCCACACACACATTCACACCCACATGCCTCCTGGGCTGCAGACAGCCAGGCTTTGCTGTGATTGACAAGCCCTCAGCTTTGTACAGTAATCCAAACACAAGACTTAAAAATGCATGGGAAAGACAGCAGGTTCTGAGGGATAAGGTGTAAGAGGGGGATGGAGTAACCATACAGTGCTTTAATCCAGTAACTAGACTTTTTTCTTGGTGCATAAGCGACAGTTTGTTTTCCCTGTACTGTCTGAAAGGTTCCTTCAGGGTTTTGAACAGAGTAAATACAGTCCCCGCTTGTTTGCACAATGGCTTGCTCAGATCTTTGTTACTCTCCTGTGCCCATCTGAGTGGTTTTATTTTACTTAGACCCTTGTTAATATGCGGCACGGGAGAAGAATACTAATTGTGCTGTGTTTTTGCTGCAAATCTCCCTGCTCCTTTAATGAATTGAGAGGATTTGGCCTGCTTGCTGACTCCAGGCTGGCAGCGGCTTCTCCAGTGAGCTGGAGCCTGACCCAGGCTGGTCACCGTGCTCCAGTTCACTCAGGTGACTTTATCTGCTCACGGCAGCCCCTCTCCGCCCGCGATCAGACGCCACTGATTCTCTCACTCAGAGCATGAAGTCCTTTGTGACTGGCTAAGTCCTCTTTTCACCTTGCGGCTAGAACCAGCCAACAGATCCTTGCGTATACCCCCAGCAATGAGAATTAGCCAGCATTTCCGGTTATTGTACAGTACACGCATCAATAACAGCTTTGCAGCCACGCAAAAGTTTGCTGTGCAAAGGGGCAGCACTTGGTGCAGTCAGAGTTCAAAGAGAGAGCAGCCAGCTGACACAGGGCTAATGCACACAGGGCGACAGGCACCAAACGAGTTCCTTTTCTTCAGACCCATGAGCACACCTGCCAGATCCCCCCAAACTCCTCTCCTCCAGTACAATCTGCAGAACGGGCAATAACCACATAAGTAAACCCCTCCCTCCCTCTGCCCCTGCCTCCTCCATTCCCAGCTGCTTACCTTTGTGACAGTCATGCAGAATCCCGGAGAGGAGAGAGCTGACGTCTCTGAACGCTGAGCGGTGGGGATGACTGGGATGATCGCAAGGTCCGTGAGCGAGAGATAGCGACAGGGAGAGGGAGAGAGAGAGAGGAAGGAGGGGGGCAGTCTGCTCTCACTCACTAAGTGGAAAACGCTTGCGTCCGCTGCCACTGCTGCTGCGGCAGTGAAGTAATCAGCGACCGTGCTTTACTACAACAGGAAGAAGCCCCCCCCCCTCTTCCTCCACCCCCCACCTTCTCTCCACTCTCCACACACGCTCCTCTCTCATCCTCCTCCCCTCTCCTCGCAATCTGATTAAAGGCGGACTTAATGTAGCTTACTGATGCGCTGCTCGGTGATGTCAGCGTGCACGCGGAGAGCTGGGGCAATGCAGCCCAGGGCAGGACAGGATGGAGGGGACGAGAGGTACAGTACGGGCAGACGAGCTGTCGGCCGGAGAGGCAGAGGACAGGAGATGGGCGCAGGGCAGCGGCAGGAGAGAGGAGCAGCCCGAGAGAGAGGAGTTGCTGAATAACTGCCTTGAGGGAAATGCTTACTTGGGAGAAAGAGAGGGCAGGTTCATTGTCAGTGTGTGGTAGTGTGGGTGGCGCAAGCTTCAGTCAGCCAGGGGTGGTTTTCAGCTGAAGCTTTGCTCCGCGATTCTGCACAGGTGTCTCAGAGTGTTGTGTTTTTTGTGCAGCTGCCCAGGAAAATGTTTGGCGATTTCTCAGAGTCCGCTTTGGTCCTAAAACACAAAAGGTCTTCCTGAAAAGCCCCCGTGGGGTTGGTGTAGTGAGGCTGGCTTAAAAAAGCACAGCTGGAGTTCCGCCTGTTTCATGTGCCTTTGCTCCTCACGTCTGTGCGATGCAAAAACAAAACAAATGTTGGAGGTAAAAACTTTTGTTAGGAAAAAAGTATTCCGTCTTGTTCTGCAGAGGGATGTCGCTAACGGCGTTGACCCGTTGGCGAGGAAGTGACCCTGATTCAGGCTGAAACAAGGTCAAACACATTTGGAAGGCAGGTCCAGCTCCTGTCCCCAAAGTAAGGTGAATTCTGCCGGGGATGAAAACGGCAGGCTGCTCGATGTCTGACTCAGATCACCCAGTTAAGGAGATAGCTGCAGAACACACTCCAATTGTTTTCAGGCAGAAGGAGAGGGAGACTGTGAGAATGGAGGTGGTAGTGGGGTTGGCAGAGAACTGGATTTTCTGGTTACTGCGCTTGGAGTTTCCTCCGGGGTCCTGAGTGTAACTCCACCAGCCCCCACACTGAGGGTGTGCTGCCCTTCAGAAGGCACCCTATCTGTTACAGTACCTACAGTATATTCTTCTCACTCCGCTGGTTTGTTTTGGTCCTGGCCAGGAAATCCACTTTGGGGCTGGCGCGGAAACAATAGCCAAACTGCCGTGCTTCTGCAATGAGCAAAGACAAGGAAACACATGGAAGCTCGGCACTTTTCACAAGACAGAGGCTGATGAACGGCCATGTCTCTTTGCCTAGTCCCACGCTGCTTGTTGAACAGGGGCTCTCGGCTGAGTACCCCTAGCCCCATTAGAACGTAGTCGGTGTGAGAACAGGCATGCTATGCTGTCTCCTGGTCAGGCACAATCACCTCGTCATTGTTCTACCCAGGCTGCAGCTGCCTGAGCCGAGCCCCAGCGGATGAATCGGAAGGCTGGAGCGTTTCCTGTGTCTCGCCTGCCCCCTGTGATCCTGGTCCCTTGTCTCCCTGGACTTGTGGGGACCGCGCACTCCCCTGCCTCACACTGCCGCTGGCTCTGTGCAGGGAGAGCTCTGCGTGTGCAGCTCCCCCACACGAGCTCATACAGCACATTCCCACCCCTCTTCGCTACCAGCTTGCAATGCTGGTGTCGCACGCATGCAGATTCTGTAATCAGGGGATGTGAAAAGTAGCTCCGTGCCGAAACTTAGTAGTGTTTAGCCTGAATTGTGAATGACAAGATTATGAAGTGCGTACGAGACACTTGGAGCCATCAGCCTGAACTTGACTTTGGATTAGTCGCTCAGTGCGCATGGTTCTAGTGTGTGCCTAAAAGGGATAGAGAAGTGTTCATTCATGACTCCGGTTTTGCAGCAGACGGGAGCTGAATTCGGATATCAGGGCCCTCACAAAGCCCGTGTCTCGGGTGTCTCTTTAATTCCAGCTCCTCAGTTCAGAGATCTGTTCTGGGACTCGTTCCTTCATGGCTGGTCATTCGATTATAAGATGTGAAAAACCGTTAAAAAGTATAAACAGAGAACGTGTTTACTGAACCCTAGTGGCTCACCTGGGCCAGAGCTTATCCAGTGTCTGGAGCTGATATGGAAAGTGTCACCCCCTTGTTGGATAGGAGGTTACCCCCAGCCATGCTGATACCCCGTTATACAGCTGGAAGGACTTCTGGTTATGAGGCTAAAGCCCTAATCACTACTCGATTCTGCCCTTTACTATCGAATCATTCCAATTTTAAAATTTGACTAGTTATAACCTTTCATGGTAGTAAATGAGAAAAATCTTCCATTTTCTCAATTACACATAAAATGCTGTTAATAGCTATCCCCATGTAAAACCAGGGTAATAGCGAATCACAGTGTTGCAATTTAACAGGTGTCTTGCTGCCATGTTCGCGCTGTTTAGGTATACCCCTATTAACATAAAGATGCAATGTTATGGAAATCATTTATGATTTGCTGTCAATTATTTTATTGAGCCAAATTTCATCAGATATGCTTCGATGGGGTTAGGACTGACAGGCTGGAAAATATTGACAAAACTCTTAAATATCAATTTAACCTCACAATCGGTGATTCGGAAAATGTCCGGACAGTGACATCGTAGGCAACACCTCCATCTAGTGGTGAGTAGTGTGTACTGCTGAGGTTTCCCACCAGCCACCACACGCAGCTGTGGCTGCAAGCGAAAGCGGAGAGAAAACTGAGGTCTCGTCGTTTTATTAGCGTTTCTAGGATTTCGTTTAGTTTTAACTTAGGGAAATCAAAAAATAGTTTTGAAGGGTGTGTTTTCACCCTAGACCTGGGGACCGGGCTGTTTCCTAACGTCAGGATGGCCGAGCGGTCTAAGGCGCTGCGTTCAGGTCGCAGTCTCCCCTGGAGGCGTGGGTTCGAATCCCACTCCTGACAAGCGTGTTTTGATGTGGCAGTGTGGAACAAGCTACCCGGTCACATCGGGAGTCTGGCTTCTTTCAGGGAAGGCTGGGTAAAACCCCTGGTTACCGGAATTTGTTAAACTACAATTAGCTGCCACACAGAGACAGCTGAATCTACAAGATTTTAGCGCGCTTGTAATAATACTTATGTGGCACATTGGTCTGTACTGCCCTTGCGATGTGTGGATGTTTGCCTCATTTGCCTAGACTTCGTGCGGTATTTTAAGGAGCGGTAATTACAGCGGAACGGTAGAGGTAATGTCAGCTTGCGGCCATGACAATTATCCGCCTTTTTTCGCCCGCCCACGTTTTCTGTCTTTCACTGAACAAAATTGCCGTTGCTTAGCTGAATCGTGCGAAACAGCTCATGTTTACGAAGAATGTGTTCTACACCAGATACGAAACTCTTGGTGCTGAGTTTGAGAGAAACCTGGAGTGTCGGACTGCGGGGTTTCTGTAGCTCCATTCTCTGAGTGTGGTCCTCAAGCACATTGGAGGTCCCTGCTTCTAGTGCTTCCCAACGTAGAAGGGTTTGTGCCTTCTGCTCATTGTAGCGTCCTTATTTTCTCTCTTGCGCACAAGCGGGCTCAGTAACAATACTTAATAAATGAGTCGCACACAAGCACCTACAGTCATGCATTACGGTCACTTGTTTTAAAGACAAAGCAGCGAAATTAAGAACCGTTACAAACGAGAGGAGGCTATTCAGCCCGTTTGGTAGTTTGCCGCTAACTGGTCCAAGGCCTTTTCCAGCCATCTTTTAAAATACGCCAGGGTATCAGCTTCAACAGCATGGTTGGGCAGCCTGTTCCCTACTCCCACAACCCTTTGGGTAAAGAAGTGCCTCGTGTTCTGAGTTTTAAATGCACTGCCACATAGTTTTGGAGTACTTAAAGTCAGAAAGTCCATCTCAGCTATGTAATCCCCTAGTCATTAAAATCCACAGAATAACTCGCAAACTGGATTGCTAGCAAACTCTTTTGAGGTATCAGGTGCTGTAGACTGCCGTCATCAGAATGTTGATTGCAGTTTAGTACGAAAACCAAACCAATGCTAATTTCTTTCAGAGATTTCAACAGCAGCCATATCACCCTGGAAGTCACAACTGACACCCCACTGAAGCTCGGCAGGTGTGAGTTTGGCCAGCACCTGGAAGAGAGACCCCCTGGGAAAGCTAAGGTTGCTGCTGGAGGAAGTATTAGAGGGGCCAGCAGGGGGCGCTCACCCTGTGGTCGGTGTTAGTCCTAATAACCCAATATACTCTACTGTAAAAAAAAAAAGGAGCCTTCTCTTGGATGAGATGTAAATCTGAGGTCCTGACTCTCTGTGGTTATGAAAAATGGCAGGTTGATTCACAAAAGATGTACAGTAGGTGTGTTAGCTAAATTTCCCATTGGGAGTCTATACCAATCATGGCTTCATCACTCTGTTCTCCTCCTCACTGAAAGCTGGTGAGTGTACTGGTGCACATGTTTGCTGTTGCATCGTTCAGGTGAAGCTACACTTTGGTGGTGGTGGAGGGGAGTCCCCCTTACCTCGAAAGTGCTTTGAGTGGAGTGTCCGGAAAAATGCTATATATGTCTAAAGAATTATTATTAATAGTGTTCCTCTCTGTCTCTCTCTTGGTGAGATTTCATTAGCGAGAAAGAGCCACACAGATATCAGGCCTTGTAAGGAATGATTATTAAGTGTAAGGAATTAGTATTACGTCTTGCCATATAGATTCCTATTGTGAATTGCCACGTTGTTAAAGTCCTGCCTTCACAGGTTTTTCGTGTTAAGTGTTTTTATTCATTAGGCAGACATGTGCCCGGTTCACACACACACAAACATTCACAAGGCTTTCTCCTATACAGTATGTTTACCTTTGTTTGAGAACAAAACCCCAATATGTTACAAGACCCAGACAAAAGATTAGAACTCCACAAGGACTCTTTAAAATGGTTCATGTGACATTTGATAATGTAAAAGTAATGTCCTTGAAGTGAACAATGTGTGGTTTCTGCTCCTCCTTGTATGAATTAGAAGGGGATTTCTTTCCTTTAACCCAGGACAGCTGGATTCCAGAATGATGCCATTTGTGCCAGCAGAGGGCAGTGTCCTCATGTGCCCTGCACTCCTGCTTTCTCCATTCGAGCTGAGGCTGTCACTGCTTGTTTCCTGTATGAGCACACACATCGGGGATAGACATGAGACACGGCATGCTGGCTGCAGTCCTGAGCGCTAACACTGACTCACCACCAAATCCCTGTTGAGAAA